CCCTTGGAAAGTCATCTAGTGTTTTATTTTGGATGCCTATTGGAACCATCTTGTCCTGTTTTTTGTAAATGTTTTGATATTGTCTGCCGTCTTCGGGGCATTCAGTAGTTATTCTTCTCGTTTATTGATTGTAGATTTGTTTGTTTCGTCCTTTTTTTTATTTGGCTATGTCTGAGCAGACAGGCTGTGTGTTGTTGTTTGCTCATCTGTGGGCACAATACTTTTCACCTCCTTTTCCAATTGGCAGGGTCAGTCGCTCAGTTACGGTATCCAGGGCAGGTCTAGCTGAAGAGGAGTTGCTGGGATGGGTTGTTTGTGGCACTTACTACAGCCATCAGGGCGGGTCAGTAATCAATGCAGGGCAGGTTCCGGTAGGCCATGCTTGTGCTGCTTGGTGGTGTGATGTTAAGCGCATGGTGCAGATAGGTGGGATGGAGGGGGGAGATTATGATGTATGGAGCTAAGATGGGTACGGGAGAGAGGAGAGAGGAATAGGAGCCAAAAACATACAAACAAACCAAAAAGGGTGCTAGGGGAGCTTGCCGTTGGAGCGGCGAGATGAGAGACTATGAAGTGGAGAAAAACAAAAGGGAAGAAGAAGAAGGAAAAAAAAAAGAAAAGAATGAATAAATAAAAATTACAAAGAAAAAAGAACAGCAAAGCTCCCAGGGATCCCACCGTTGCGGCTATAAGATCTGGGGAAGTTGTTCCCAGTTGTTGAAGTACAGCCTGGCTAGAAGGCGTAGAGGTATTCATCGTCAGGTATTCAGTGGACAGGAAGAGAAGGAAGGTATAGAGAGATGAGAAACTGAGTAATGACGAAAGCCAAAAAGGGAAAAAGAGGGAAAAGAAAACAAAACAAAAATAAAAAAGAACAAGAGTAGCCCCCCAAAAAACAGGAAAAAAAAAAAAAACACGAGAAAAGAAATGCCCTCGGAGATCCCTCTGCATGTCTGCACAAGCTGAGGGGTAGGTCCCAAGCCACGTAGCGCTGCGCGGCCAGAACGGGCTCCCAGCTCGAGAAAAGAAAAAGAAAACAATTCAAAACAAACAAAAAGTGCTGGGATCCCACCAGCATGGCAGCACGGACCAGGAAGCAGTTTCACTCTTGAATGGAGCTCTGCAGCCCCTTAGGAAGAAGCAAAGATGGCGCACAGAGCCAGGTATTTGAGCGAAAGGAGGGGGAGGTGGTGAGAGGTAAGGAAGAAATCAAAAGAAGC